TCTTTATAGGTCTTTATAAATACATGATATAATATACACACACACACACGCACACACACACACACACACACGCACCATCAAGTTGTATTAAAAGTCGATTCACTCTAATTTTTAAACTGAGCTAAACGTCATCTGGTGAGCATAATTTTACTAAATGTTACGCACTGGTAAGACGAAGACAGCAAATGTCCGCGTAGCGTTTTCTTAACGAATAATAAACCGAATTGCCCCACCCCATTGGACTGCTMACAAGCCGTCAAAATAAAACCAGTCGGGGCAAACCAAAATCAGTAGAATCATTTTGATCGCGAGTATTCGAGGTTTAGATCAGTTTCTCTCCATTGACTCCATTGGATCGTCTGTGATTTTTCAATTGAGTTTATTTATAATTTTTCTTTCCGATTTACTACTGTATTTTTGAATAATACTTAAGCTCAACGGACTTATTCGTCAAATACATATATACGGATCACTGCAGAAGAAATCATCAGTAAGAAACATAAAACTTTGTTATTTGTAAACTTGTTAATTTTATTATTATTAAGCTTATGATTTTTATCAATATTTTAAAGTCGATGATGTTTTAAATTGTTGGTTATCAACAATGATATTATTTACTTATGACAATCAAATCTATCATATTTATAACTCTCAAATCATGCGTATTATAAATTACTATATATATTATTATTTATTAATATAGAAACAGACGTTCCAAATTATTTCATTTAATATGTTTTAACCTTATGAATTACTGAATACATGTGATTAATAAATGCAGTACCTATACAGGCTACATTAATATATAAAGTGCATTTAATTTTGTGAGAAAATATATCTATGTTTTTTTTCACAAAGTTAGTATTATTTATTAATATTAGCTATTGATTTATTTATTATTAAACATAGCGAAACAAAAAAATGTTACATAATATTATACAAGTTTTTACTCGAGTCTGCTTATCCTCAAGCGCAGCTTGTGATCCATTAGTATCGATGAGTAACTTTATAAATGAAAAATAGGTTATACTATACCTATGTTATACTGTAATTATATACAAACTAATTAAATGAAATGCATCATATAAAAAATATAACCGATTTATAAAAACAAAAATAAAGTCCACTTCAACAAATTTAAAAACTGTTCTTAGGTTTATAATTTATATAACAAAGAAAACAGTACCTGTTCGGGCTGTTCGAATAATATAATAATTAAACTTAATTTTTTTTTTAGCCATTTTGATTCATCGATTGGCAATTTGTTGAGATTAATGTTTGAGGATTTACATAACTCAATTGTTATAGTAATGTAGCTTCTTAATCCGAATGACTTTTTATAGTTTATTAATTTATTATAATATTGAGGTGTGAAAACTCATGTGATTAAAAAAAATCTGATTATTTTATTATACATTGTTACAGATATGCTGAAACTATTCTTYGTAATCTGTGAGTATCATTTTATTAAAATATACTTATAACTAATTATGATTTTTGTAAGACTATAACACAACAYTACATATAATAAAGTCGAATTAGCGATTTGTCTCTTGTGCGTCTACAATGTTAAGTTATTACTTATAATACGTGTTACAGGCACACCGTTTTCTTCTCGAGATATTTAATTAATATTAATAAATTGTGTTCTCTTTCTCTGTCCAYAGCTACTCTGATAATGTTGGCCAAATCCCAGATTTTGGTCGAATGGATCTGCGAAGATACCAATGCGATGGGCAATTGCAGTACCATACCTAGGATTACAGACTTGCTCCAGATTATTTCTGATAATAGCGATAATTACGAATATACAGACATACACTATTGCCCGTCAGTATATTATTATATTTTAATAGTAATATAAGATAAATACTTAGTATGAATAATATATAAAAAAAACCATAAATTGGAAATTTAATGAAATAAATTAAATCGAGTTAGTTAAGTTGAGTCAACCTTACGGGTGTGAAGTTGTAAGTTAATAGTTCGATTAATTGGAAATATCTTTTAAATATCCATCGAATATGAAGTCAAAACATTTTCTATGTATAMATTTTTAATTTGTTTTGTGGTATAACCGCCACCACTGTTGGACTTGTTGTCTAAGAATCATTTTCACTCATCTTTGCTTGCAGTGTCAGTTACATTATATGCATAGCACTCCATATTATAATATTAACAAATTATAATGAACAATTACCCGCCTCAGGGGTAGATTGTAGAYTGGGTTACAGGCCAACTGGTAGTTCTTATTTATTGGGTATTTAGAGAGATGTTTGAAGGCCATTAAACAACTTAATACAAAAAGATAGGACACCGATGATTGTCTTCCGGCCAGTCCACCCCTGAAATAGTATAGTTATCATATTTATTAATGGTTCTACTGATTTTATTGTTAATTTGTCATTTTGTGTTTTTGATTTGTCAAATACAGATTCGCCATCGTGGAACGGCATGCCAAGTGTATGAAGTCGTACGTAAAAAGTTGTGATACTTATATGTCTGAAGCCATACAAAATATCTTTTACACGTAYATGCCAGAGATTGTGGACGCAGAAACTCTCTGCACCGAAGGCCGGCCTTACAAGAAGGGTTAGTTTTCTCGTAAAAAATAGTATAGTACAATAAATAAGAATAACAGTAAAAACTATAAAATATTAAATATGAAAATTATTTATTATTATAAAATACAAAGTTGTAACATTGTGACCATATTTAATATTTTAGAAATGTATTATAGGTGCAGAGGTGATCAAACGGTGGGAGGGTTACCCCACGACCTTTTTTTAATGTTTAAAAGCTAATAACCATAAATTATATATTAAATAGTACATATTAAAAAATCAGTTATATCCCCTCCCTTGACAAAATAATTTGACCGCCRCTATATAGATGCTAGGTATTGGGCCTATTTTATTGAAAGGCCACAGTGCAATAATAGATGTTTTGACACTACATTATTGTTACACACTGCCCACTGATGGAACAAATTATATTTAATTATGGGTAACAAATTAAATTGACTCATTATACAACAGTTCGATCGAACGGTGTTATCCTTGGTAATGTATAAATGTCATATACCTAGTCATTTAGTATACTTTAAGTTTCATAAAAATAATGCATCGACGGTGTTTTCATAATATTTCCATTATATACCAACAATAAAAAAAAAAATATATGATAAATAGTTAGTTGCTCATCTTACGTAGTATGATTTTATCAGGAGTGCTAAATTAATTTTCACTATATCGTTATCAGAATTTAGAGAACACGTAGCTTGCACAAAAGAATTGTTATATGCCGACCAAGAATGGGAGCAATACGTTGAAATTCAAGAGTTGTTATACGGACAAACAATAGATGCCATCGAGGTCCATAAGAAATGCCAGTGAGTCTTAGTTTGTTTTATAATAATATAATATTATTAAAATAATACACAATGCGTTTATTTTGAACTGCAAAAATGATATTTTTAGTTTGACGTATTCTTTTGATTAATTGAAATTGATTTTCTACAGATTTATCAACAATTTTTGGTATAGTATGGTCTTGAACATTCGTAAGAAATGCGGAAGGAAGACTGAAAAGTTTTCCCGCCAAGTGCTTAGCAAAATGTGGCCATTATCGATGTATTCGGTCAGTATACCTATGACAATTAGTAATAATAATTTTATATTGATTAAGTCCTACCAGCCGAATTCGTTATTATCAAACCATGTGATATAAAATAAAAATATTGTATATGTACCTTTATATGTATTTTATAATATAATATGTACACACAATATATATTATTACCTACCTATATTGGCCACCAAAATGTCAGGGTTGAAAARACGTGCTCTATTACTTTTAAACATWTTAGTTGGTKCGAAATGTGTGTTCAATACAAATATACAGGATGTCCCGTGAGGTTTGTTTGACCCATTGCGATATCTCCTGAAAGAATTGTGATATCGAAATGCTGGTTTAGTAATAGAGCTCACAGGTATAAGAACTACAATTGTTTCATATTTAAATTTATTTTAATGGTTTGGTAAAAAAGTTAAAAAATATATTTTTATATTTAATTATTTCAAAAAAAAAATAAAGATAGCCATTTTGTAGAGTTTATTTTTCTGAAAAAATATTGACGTTTCAAAGTTTTATTTTCACTAATTTCCTGATTATTAATATTTTTTTTAGTTTCGAGAAAAATTACGAATAATTTAACACCATGATGTTATCAAACATGTAATCCGCCGCGCCGCGCACATTCCTATACGGTCGGCCGAATACTTTCCGTGTTCCTAATAGTAATCAATTTATAATCATATTTTATTTCTTCAAAACTAGAAAAAATATCAAAAATCAGGAAATTAATGGAAATAAAATTTTGAAACGTCAATACTTTCAGAAAAATAAACTCTACAAAATGGCTATCTTTAATTTTTTTTGTAAATAGTTAAATGAAAAAAAAATATTTTTTAATTTTTTTACAAAAACATTAAAATAAATTTAAAAATTAAATAATTATAGTTCTTATCCCTGTGAATCTTATTATAAAACCAGAATTTTGATACCTCCATTATTTCGTGAGATATCGCAATGGGTAAATCCTCGCGGGGTCGCGGGACACCTGTATGATAATATATACCTATATAATTCATGATTGCATATTGTGTGACACTTTACTTGATTATTATATTATTAGTATTATTCATTGTTTATCCTTTAATATTTATATTAGAATTATTTGTACACTTATACTATAAGGAATAGCTCGACAGTTATACCTATTATACGATAAACCGTATTTGTGAATTATAATTTTATCGATCATTTCGTTTACTTATATAAAACATAGGTTTCTTCCACAGATC